CAGTGGTTAGAAGTCTGACGGGCACAGTCTCCTGGCCCTCCAGGACATGTATGGTGGCGTGTTCCGTAGAAATGGTAATGAATTTATATTTTCCGCGAAACACCGCTGCCTTGCGGTTAGGCTTTTGAGCCAAAGGCTTTGGTTGAGGACCCTAATCGTCCTCCTGTCTAGGTGTGGGCGCCCTGTCAGCATCCCAGCCCGCGTACCGCCATGTACGGCGGTGAAGCACCTGTGTTGAGTGCTGATGTCATGTTGTCGATGCTGCCGATGATGATGATTGATGATGAGGATGATTGATGATGATGATGATGATAATGATAACGAAGCAGTTTGTCTTAGCCATTTCTAGTTCAGCTCTCTGTTTTTTGACCTTGTAGTTTCAAGTGTATCCACAGTATGAGCCTTAGGCATCTAGCCACTCGCCTAGTCGTCAAAATCTTTGTGAAAACACCCAGAGATAATAACCGTGTGGTACTTCTTGCCGATCGGAGAAAACAAATGATAACCTACTACTAGAGTAAAGGGATGCAAAATACCTTGCAATTCTCATGGACTATGTTCGCTTGATAAAGTAACGAATTTTAGAGCCAAAGTTGAATTCTACGAGACAATCGATGCGAAACCTGGTGAAGTTTTGACGGCCCTTTGTTTAATTGATACACAACATGGATGCAAGGCAAATCTGTTCTAGTTCGTTGGCTATCAATCGTGGTACGTCAGATGAAGCTGTCACAGCTCAGGTTTCCCAGAGATATTGGGGAAGAAGTTAAACCCAGTAGAACAATGGAGGCGGTGGTATACTACCTTAGTGGGTGTTAAATCGTACTAGTTTTAGGGTGAGGGCCGCCGATTTTGCGAGAAAACCAAATCTGACACTGTCACTGGTAGTAAATCATCACTGATGTTATGCTGTTTATGATGATGATTATGATTACGACTGTCGTTGGATTTGAGCAGCATCCAGCGAGAGCAGTTGTCAACCCGCATGTGGTTATCTGTTACTGCCTTAATTCCTCGTTGGCTGTCCGTCTCTCGATTTTCTTCCTCAATACAGGGTTTGGTAACAAGGCTTCTCGGATGTAGACTGTCCTCTGACAAGAGAATCACATGTTCCTGCCGATGAAGTGTGAGTTTCTCGTCCGTCACAGGAGAGGTTCTTCATCTTAAAACCAATTGACCTACCGTGGGATTGCTAATTCAATGTTCCTATTGGACTCGGCTAGTGGTTACATTGTGATGCAAAGCGAACACTCCTAAATTTTCCTGATTGTTTAATTGGGATCGAACTAACAAATAAAACGAGGGCAATCAAACACAGACACAAGACATTTAACTGAATACTGTACAGATTCAGAGCTGGCACAGAGTAGTTTCTCCAGTGTAACAAAGTGGCAACGATTTTATTTCTAGACTTGTCATTCTTTTTTTCTTATGCTTGATGTGGTGAAAGTAGAAAAACGGGCCCTCCATTATGTCAGCCTTGTTTGCTGTCAGATTTACGAAAACGTTGTAACGAGCGTCAACCGTGCATTTGTAGAGGTATTTGTGGTACAAATTATACACTTGCACTCGTATCCCAGTGGGTCCCGATAATTCTCTTAGTGGAACTTTATTTGGTTGGTAAAGACTCGTAAAATGAATCTAAATGTTGATTCACGAGCAGTTTGGGATGAATCAATCAATTTCTTGCAGTCACCACATAGTTGAAGACTAACTTTTCAAGGTTGGCAGAAATGTAGCACTTTTACTAAAACAATTCCGTTGTAAACACTTTTTGAAGATTTTTACAACGTTCACAAGGCCATATATGCAACAAAGCGAGGTAGATAAACAAGGCAGAACTAAGGACCAGAATAAAACATCAGCTGCCTTTACTACATTATAGAGCTCTATTATGGCATACACTTAGATGCGACCTTTAAACAAATTGATGGAAGTGTTGTTCACATGACCTTCCTCACATGGACTTCTCGGACAGCAGTAGTGAGTCACTCTCCTTGTTCCCGGCTCGGTTGAAAATAGAGGATCGCCCGCAAGTGGAACCACTGACTACTTAACTTAATTCAGTAGGATTGTATTCTGCAGCCCACTTTTGACATGGATGAACCCGTACTTTATTTCCGGACCAACTAGTTTCAGTTCTGTTGAAATAATTTACAATCTGTCGGTATCTTTCATCAACTTTGGTATGTGAATGGACTAAAGCGGATACTGCAGTAAGCGAGCAGCTTATTCGATCATAGTTAACGTGCTCAAAGTCGATCAGACTAGAAGTCTGTGGTGTGTTGGGTACACTTTAGATTTCAGCGCCCTGTGTACATTCATACCGATGCCTTGAATACCGCTCAGTGAAGCTCCCAAATGTGAGCACTCTCACAGTATGGCAAGCTCACATGTTCGGAGACTGGAGAGTTCCCGCGACATCGTACTTACCAGTACACCAAATCACTGTTCAAGACCTCAAATGTGCATAATTGTTTAAGTGAGGCGTTTTTACCGCACAATTTAAAATCAATTAGTCAGCGGGCAAGGTTGGGAATTGAACCGGACAGTCTACACATCCATGGAATTTCAGCGAGTTCATGTTGTCTGAAATTCAGAGCCCAACAGACACAAGAGTTGGGAACTCAAAATTATTTGCAAAGGGACCTCAGCCTACATAAAGGTGAAATTCTGTTGCATGGTACACCATTAATTTTTCGATGTGGAGAAAATTCGACTTGATTCAACCGCAAACGTTCAATTCAGCGTGCGAATTTCCAGCTTTTTCGAACTCACTCAGTCAGATTCGACAGCCGAAAAAGTGCCATTTTATGAACAATTTGTGCACGTCCAAGGTAAATGAAAATATTTGTTTTTGCAAGGATTTGTTTTAGGGGTAAGCATAATTTTAACAGTACATTTTGATGTTCAGCTGTCTTACATGACTAAGCAACCCACGCCAAGACAAAAATGTATTCACTGAATCGATTCGGATGATATAAGTGCACATCTAACATTTCATAGCTTGTCCCGAAAAAAACGAAGAGGTCTAATATACCATGCAGTGAGAGTTTTCCGGCCCTTCGTTGTCAAAATTTGGAGCTTGGGACATGTACTGCTTCGGATACAATATCATAAAACCAGTTATTACCTGTCAGTCAACAAGGTATAGAAGACAAGGAATGTTTCAGGAAAAAAAATAGTTTTATGGCTTCCGCAGTTATTGTGACTGCTGGGCCAAACCCTTAGGCTAGAGAAGTGGCCGATATTGAGATGTTGCTTCTTGAAAGGTAGATTTTAGTCGGTGAGAAGATGAAACCAAATGGATAATTATGCCACACAAAATGAAATCAACATTCTGCAGCTAGCAGCAGTAGAGGATAAAGTTGTCCGTTTGTATCCAGTTAGCCGTTTTACCGCATCCATTAGATTTCTTGAAAGAAATTAGGAAGAACAGTCCGACTGAACACTACCCACTTATCGTATTACGGATAGCTATGTTGTGGGCATGGCGTTATGTGTTCCTATCGTAGAAAACAAAACAAAGTATGCTTGCTGGAAAGAATCTGATTGTTCCGTACAAAGTCAAACCATTTTTGGGAGGATGTAGAGGTAGAAAACGTATCATTCCTTGTTAGTGGTTCTCAATACTTTGTCCCTTACGTGGAGATGCAGTTAGTTTACGTTGTTGCTTTCTGTACTGTTCAAAATGATTCAAGGCGAAAAGTGAGAATCCAAAGCGATTTATTTAGTATTCGAGGCAACAAATGACAATAAGTGACCACAAATCTTATGACAAAACTTTTAACTCACCTCGACATGTCTTGCATTCGTGAACACGACATTGATAAAACAAAGTGCTTCACTCTTGAGAAAATATTTCCGGAAATTTATAAATGTCTCATGTTTGAAAGTTGTTTCCCAGTGCAACCTGTATTTCATCCTGTAATGGAAAACAGTCTGTCGGAAATTCCCGAGAAACCGAACCCCAGTTCCGTTCTCATTCAAATGTTACCATCAGGGGTCACCTCATGCATCTCAAAGTCGATGTTAATTCTCAATCTCCCTGCTAGTAGGCGAATATCAGGCAGAGAGTTTTTAGCTGAAAATTTACGGGCGCTGTAGAATGTGGGACAGTTTGGAAGATTCCTCAGATCTGCCTTCTACTGCTTTTCAGGTTTAAGCAAACCTGAAGATAGCAAACAGCTTGGGAGGGACATTAGCACCAGGGAGATTGGATAGCGGATACACTTGCACTGATGTACAACAGTATATGTGAATGTCTGACTGACAAGCGATGGCCAACTGTAGATATCCGGATGGCTGTGTAGGATGACTATAACTGCCAGTATAGCCGTGTTGACCGAGGAAGCAGGCAAGTACCTGTACTCAAACTTGCAGAAAATGTAAGACGTTCTCCACCGAGAACAAAGGACAGGAATAATCCATGAAGGCTGTCACACAATTAGGGTGAAACAAGCAAACAAAGACGGATAAAAGTAAACATATCGAAGACATTACGGGGACAGAATGTGGTCAGAAAACGCGCACTGCTCCGCCCACTATCACAGTTTCTACTCCGCACCATACCGCGTGCCACACAACTCCAGATATGTGCTAGAGCGGGATACGAGGTAGACGGGTCAACAGTGAATCACGGGCAAAGGTAAATGATCCGCGACACACTTGGGGTAGAAAAAACGTTTGGAGAAGCGCTGAGGATGACGGCATCAGCCACGTGCCGCATGAACAAATGGGTACAGGGGTGAATTGTCCATCTGATTGTTCTCCCTTAACTCTAGTAAAGACCAACTGTTCGTTGCAGAGACGCCCAGTTATAAAAAAACCATACATTGTTGAATAGAAATAAGTAGAATTGGTTGCGATGAGTATTAGAAGCACGAAAGCACCAAAATTTCCGTCGTTGAATTCACCAATCAAGCGTTGTGCCAGACGGAATAAAGGGGAATAAAGTGTGCCAAAACCGGGGTGAGACGGCTTAGTGGTTAGAGCGCTAGATGGTCCGTGGTTCGGACTCGATCTCTTCCGATTTCTTTTGTGGGCAACGTGGCAGTATCGCAGCTGTCGTGCTTCCTTCGAGTGGCGTGACAGCTAGGCACCCAAAAGGTGTTACAGCCTAAAAAATCGG